GTAGTCGTAGATTGCCTCGGGGACGCCAGACGAGGAGATGGCCCCCCAGTAGATGTCCGGGTACAGCTTCCGCAGAAAGGCAACGAAAGCCCCGGCATAAGAACCACCATAGGCTATGTAAGGTGCCTTGCGCACTGTCAGGTCCGAGTCCTCAAAGCCCTCAAACACGACATGCCGGGCAAAGTAGGCCATATCAGCAAGGGCCTGGTCCGTCGTCAAGAAGCGGAGGTTCTCGGTGCTGAAGTCCGGGGTGGGATAGCTCTCTCCATAGTATCGATGCTCGAGGATGACGCCGAGTCCGTGGGTGGCCTCGGCTAACTGCGCGACGATGCCTTTTTGCAGGAAGGGGAGGCGCCCGACGCCGCTGGTTTCGCCGCTCTGCAAGACAATGACGGGGCCGCCTTTCCTGTAGTGGCTGGCGTCAAACCAGTAGCGCAGGGCGAAGGTGTCGTTGGTGTGCGGCTCGTAGATGGAGTCATTGTGGAAGTGGTCGACGGGGACCTGGATGGTGCGAGCCGGGTACAGCGACTCAAGGTCCCTGGCCACCAGAGCAGCGTGAGAGGCAGACTCCAACTGCGCACCAGTAAGCAGAGTGAACGGCTCAAGGTGCTTGCTTACTCACCTGCTCCCTGAAATCTCGCAGTGTCAAAGACGTGCGGAATGCGCCTTCGGATCTGAGGCCGGCGACGAGCTGAACGAGACACACGACGGCCACCAGGAGTCTAGGGAGTGGCGCCATCCCGTCCACCAACCCGGAGGGGAGAGGATACAAACAAAACGGGGAGACGCGACGAAAAGGAGCACTTACCTCAATTCCTCCAAGGAGCGCCCCCAGGGTTTAACACTGTCGTCTCGCCCTGATCCCCAACCTCTCGCCCACAGGAGCCGACAGCAAAGAGACCCGCGAAAGGGGAAGGTCACAGAGCCTGAGTGAACTCGGACGTTCACAGCTTCCTATTCTAGGCAAACGGGATCAGCATGTTGAAGGTTCCGCGCCGCCCGCGTGCTGGGCTGCTGGCGAATGGCGCCAAGTCGGCAGTCACGCGGTGGAGTCGGGGAGGGTCGTCTCTGCCTGGTAAGCCGCACGGCGATAGGTTACCATGCGTGGTTAGCTGGAGCGTTGCCCACTGTTTACGTTATCCCCACCTTACGCTCCAATCATCCAGCGCTGTGGATAAATCGACGGTGTTTTTGGATAGATCGACGGTGTCCGACCACATACACAAAGCCACCTCACGCCGGTTACTACCTAGGGCACTAATTATAATTCAGGGTATAGTTAGCGCTTCGGATTATATTTAGAGCTCCGGTCAACTTAGGAATATAGAAAGAATGATACGGGCTTGGTATGTGTTGTTTTGTATACGTGATTCTATCTTTAAGGTGATGCGCCGGTCTGTGATGGCTGATAGCGAAGTTTGGCGGGCTGACTTAGTTGGTGCTAACTGAGGTAGTTAGACAACGGCGATCTATCCAAAAGACACCGTCGATTTATCCACAACGATCATCCAGACCTTGGTGGTCCCCAACTACTCCAGACATTAGCGCTGTTTGTACTGTAGTGCCGGATATTGCACGGGTATGTAACCGATTACACGATGCTTGAACACATAACTCTGACCACTGGCTTCCACATGAAAAATGGAGATGAAGTGGGTTGATTTTTTTCAAGAGTGGGATGCATACCCAGACCCGGAGAAATACCACAGTATGGACTGTGGGACCCACAAAAGGATGGCTAAAAACACTGGTGGTCCTCGCTCAATTTAACGCACATCATCCCGATCAGGAAGATGACTGCACATGCACCAAGATATAGCGATTGTCTTCTTCCATAGGTAGTTCTGAGGATTAAGCAGTAGCCCTAACCATAGGTACCTAACCCTAGCCATAACCCGAACTGTAACCACTAACCGCTAGTTGGTGGTCTCGTACATAAGTGTTCACCCGGCTTGTCCAGGCTGCTCTTCAATTTGGATGTCTGAAGAACTCCTTACCAAGGACGGAGCCGTGCCGATGCTCTTGACCTACCTATGTGTTTCTGTCTCCGGTGCAGTTCATCCTACCGAAGGGAGAGGCGTCGGCGAAGTACTGATGCGCTGATAAGCTAGAGGCCGTCGGCATTCTCTTAATCAGCGTCATGATAAATTTAGAACCCATCGATTGGTCTGCGGCACCCATTGATCGTACCTCATCAGGATCGTAGACGTTTGGCAAACTGGCCCCCCGGAGCCCATCGTGCTCTCAAAAGCAGAGTTTGTACGGTACGGGGCGTATATCTTCACTAATCCCCATCATACAAGGCTTCCTCAGACCCACTAGCTCTCGGTGTTGGACTCACCCTGCCAGCCTTATCCCTACTGCGTGCTATTGCATAGATTTCTCAGGACTCTGCGAATCTTTAGGGAGGATGCCGTATCATAGACGCATCGCATCTTGCGTGGTTGTGGTGAGTCCCCTTTATTTGTTTATCATGCTCAAGGTATCCTCATACGCTAAAGCCTTTTGCCACTTTCCCTGATTTGATCGTGCTGATTGTGATGCCATATGCTCCGTGAGTCCGTATAAATCGGTTCGCGGCCCGGTTCCCTTTCTCCCTCTCTTTTCTTCAGGACAACATCACAACCTGCTCGCGATCACTCCTGCCACCGCAACATCCAACTCTTTGCTTACTTCTCGCCGCATTCTTTCGATCACCGCCATGCCCTCACCGAATCCGGCTCCGCTTCTGTCCAGCACACATATCGCCCCCAGGCGATGGAGCCCGCCGTACGATCCGGAGAAACCAGCTTGTCCGTACCAGGTGGGCTTTGCGGTGGAAATCAAGCGTCACACTGCTCCGCTACCCTTTGACGATTGCTACTATGGCTCACGCGCGTGGCAAGAACCCCGAGCACGACGTGACGTGGACCCCTTCTCGGCTGCCCAGACTGAGGTTGGAGCCAATGTATTCGAGCTCTCCTCCGATGGCAAGCATTCGTTCCAGCTTGCTGCACTCCCGGAGAATCCCATGCAGCTCTTCTTGGAGACGGACTTCGCCGCCTTTGAAGGCTGGACGCCGTTGGAATGTAGTGGCAATGCCAGACTCCGCCAGCGATGGTTGAAAGAGCGTTTTGTAGGCGAGGCCGCATCGCAATATGCGCCTGTGCGCGACAACTTGAACTTTCATCCGTGTGACCGGAAATTCATCTCTCATCAGTCTCAGGCTATCGCTGATTACCAGGTCCGAAGTCTAACCACACTGTCCTGAGACATAGTAACGAGTTTGCAGAATAGGTGGCTTCAACTCTGACCCGCAAGGTACACGAATATAAACGGTAAAGCTTCTCTGACCTTGATAACCAGTCACCAGACCGTCTACATTCTACAGATACAACCTCCAACAAGATCTACGGATACCGGTAGGTATACTTGCGACGCGAGGATAGCTCATAACAGGATGTCACCGCAGTCTGGACATCAGCACCACGGGCTGCGTTACCATGTAAGTGCATAACCTCACCGCCGCGGCGATACGAGTTGCTTTTGCCTCTGCTGGGACCCAGAACAGCCCAAAATACGAAGCATTGCAACGCTGACTTAGCCGGACCCATCCAAACGAACCCTCAGTGGCGGAACGCTATGTAGATCTTGAACAGCAAACCTGGAAATGCAAGCGATGATAGCCGGATCATCATCCATCGAGAAAATGTATTAAAGCATTGCAGTTCCGATTTCTTCACTCACACGCAATCAATTTCGACATCAAGTCTAACACTCCCTAAACCACGACCACACCTGACGCCAACACCATCCAACACGATGCGCTTCCTTCTCCCAACGCTCGGCATCGCAGCGGCAGCGACCGCCCTTTCCCCTGCAACAACCTCCTCCTCCAAGGGCTTCTACCTCATCGCCCACGTCACCGACCCGTCCCGCGACTTCAGCCCCTCCATCGAAGGCTGGGCGCTCACAGCAATCCACACGGGCGCCGGCCTCAACGCCGCCGTGCTCGCATCCGCCAGCGCAGGCCGCCTCTTCTACGAGAACGGCACAGCCGCGCAGGTCGCCGCGACGCAGAGCACCATCCTCACGGACGCCGGCACGCCCCCCTTTCCGATGGGGCTCTACGTGCAGGGCGAGGGCGAGCCGCCCAAGATCCTCGAGATCAACGTCGGTGCGGGGACGCCCAACACCATTGTCGGGAGGGAGGCGGATGTGTTGGTGAATGGTCTGGATGCGAACGGCCTGGGCCGGGGGACGTACATGGCATGCAACGCGACGGTGCCGTACTACGGTGTGGAGTATATCACGCTGCAGTATGCGTATGGGAAGGTGTCGGATGGGTGTGCGCCGATCGAGCTGCGGCCGAGGTGCGCGACGCTGAATGACCTGCCTGCGGACAGTCTGTCGAGTCATGAGTTTGCGGTGGTGGTGCCGTGTTATGAGTGAGGGGCTACCTAAGTACTTATGGGGTTGATGACAGGATGCGAGCGATGGGTGCCCTGGTTTGAGGGGTAAGGCGAGAAAGAAGAGGCTTGACTCCTGAGTACCTACACTAGGCTAAGTTATAAATTATAATCGAACAACCTGTTTGAATAACACTCTGTTAAAGGCTCCTGGGTCTATTACCTCCTAAAAGTCTATTGGAGTTAGTTCTCCTATGGAGAGGGTAAAAGATAACCTACCGGTAGGTTAGGGTTATCTGAAGACAGGTTCCTCACTCTCCTTCTTCTCAATTGAGACATGATCAATTGAAAGAAAGTGGGAGAGCGACGAATCGAGCCGCGGACCTCCACGGGCGGGATCGTAAAATGCTTTCTACCGCATCCACTCAGCCGATCCGGAAATGTGGCGTTGGCCCACATCCGCATCTCACCACTCAATTTCACCCTGACACTGAAGCCGATTGATCGAGCATTGGGGCCACATCCTCCGATTGGCTAGAATGTTAACCAGTGGACCGACGCCACCACCGCGGATCAAATAGGTGGATACCGTAGCTCAGCCACACAATCATGTCCTCTGCGGCGCAATGGTAGCGCATCCACCGGCACGCCTCTGGCGTCCGGATCGGACTGGAAGGTTGGGGGTTCGAGTCTCCCCAGAGGAGCAGATATCGTATATTTTTGGAATGCTTTTTGTAAACTTAGTTAGTGACACCATTTTAGAGCGATTCTTGGCCGTCAGGTCTACACTGTTCGCCGCCACGGCTCCAAAGGTACTGAAGAACTATCAAGGACTCAAGGTACCGGAAGTCCAGAACCTGTCTATTACTGTTAGGCATAACTAGACGGTCTAGACCTAAGGGTCAGAGCGGAAAGTGATGCAGGTTCGTCAGGGACGAGACCTGTAGCCCCGGGCGGTAGTCGCGGGCGGGAGGCGGGAGAGCAGTCAGGGGGTTAGTCAGTTACGTTAAGTGCTTCTCTTTTCTTGAAAAGACGCAGATTCGTCAGAGACGAGGGCTGCGGACCGGAGCCGAAACGGATACAGGGTGTCGGGACGAGACCTGTGGCCCGAAGCGGTACCCGTAACGAGCAGTGCATGAAACGACGAGACCAGCCGCATGAAGAGCTCAGAGGGGAACGTAGGCCGTCGCAGAGGAAGCAGGGACAGCACGCTGGCAGCGAGAGCCATCAGAGGCCGGTGAAGCTTTCTAAGACAGAGCTTCTATCTACTCTGTGTGTGCCCTGTCGGGTGTGAAGGGGCGACCGAGTCCCAGTTCCTCACTCATCTTTGTGGCGGCCTGGTTGCTCCTATTGCCGACGAGGTCACGAGATGGCCAAAGGATTCGTAGTCCGGTGTCAGGTCCTTTGTGATAGCTGTAAGGTGTGCAGTAAGGATCCCATATCTGAGGATCGTGTTTGTACTATCCTATGTAACGGTGGCTGCTCTCTCTTGTCTGTCCTCCGGTTCGTCGGGTTTGTCGTTGCTGGCTCCAATGCTTGACAGCCGTTCAGCGCCTTGATTCTTGATGCAAAATCACAACTGATTTGCGTCGGAGCGTATAGAGGTTCTGTGCAGGGGGCGTTGTTCAGTCCAAGGGGGGCCGGGGGTTCTGCTGCTTCCCCGATGAGTTAGGTACCTTAGCTACCAACCAACGGACTTCGTCGTCCCCTGTAGGGAATGTGAGGCTGGGTGGCCTATGCGCGGCCTGTGCCCACCGTTTCCATCCTCCCTGCGGTCTGCGGACGGCACCACTGCCTTTCCTCCCACGCATCACACCACAGATCAATGCATTACCATTGCTACACCCTTTGGCCCACTGACAGGGAAGGCCAAGGCGCACTTCCGCAGCGCTTCTGTAATCGCTCCTTGACCCAGGCCAGGATTCGGGAGATGCTTCGATTGTGCCATGCCGGGCGTGGGCAGGTTGCGGTGTCTTTTGTCTGCGCCAGGCCCACCAGGGTGCAGATTCCGCATTGGAGCCTGTTGAAACCGTGAAGGCATGCAGCTTTCTGCTGTGGCTTCAGCAGTTGGAAGTTTTTGGCCAAGGGAGACCCGGTGTACGAAGTCTCATTCATTGCGCCGATCAGACGCGGGATGCATTCGTGCAGGTAGATATAAAATTGGGCATTCCGAGGGAGTATAAAGTACTCAAATGCGTGGATCTGACGCTTAATCGTGTTAACCTGCTTGCTATAGAGGGCGCCGAGCTCTGTATCGTTTGTGGCGTCAGACGAACCAGCCAGAAGTTGACGCCGACAGCGTTGTCGTCGGTCAGCGTGACTACGCCGTCGCCTTCGCTCAATTCGGGGCTCGTGATCGGGGTATTCGGGCTACCGGGAACGCTGCGGTGGTGACACATCGTTGACATCGCCAGCTCCCCAGCCACCACACGCATCGGCATCTCCGCTATTGGCACCAGCCCTCTCATCTTCAAAGCCCAAATCGGCCTTAAACTGGAGGCTTCTAGATATCGCGCCCTCAGGAATATCGAACTGTAGGAAGTTAGAGTCTTCCCAGGTTCGTGTCGCTAAGCCGCGGTGGCCGATGCGACTAGTACGACCTGCGACTTGTTAAGATCCCAGGGTCAAAGGGTGAGAGCAGGAATAAAAATATGCCAATACGATGAGTGTACTCTTCAACTCCACCAATATCAGTAATTGAGACTGTCTTGATGGGAGAGCAAGGGGCGGACCCGTCAACTCGATGCTCGGTTTCAGGGTGCCCCTTCTTCGTCGTGTGTTCACCGCTCTCCACAGACTTCGATTTTCCGTCGCTGTCGGACGGGGCCGTGGCGGCCGAGTGCGACCGGTACGACCTGTGACTTGTTAGAATCCCAGGGTCAAGAAGGTGTCAGCAGTGATGGAATCTAGTAAGTACCTTATGTACCAATACGATGAATGTACTCTTAAATTCCGCCAGGATCCATCAATGGTATATCATATATGGTTGATGACATGCATCACGATGACTTTCCCGCCGGAAATGTTGGTAGGGAAGCCACCTGTCGGTGGACACGGTCGAGACTGCCAGATCTTTGTATTGCATGTCGGCTTCGGGAACCGATCGTCTTCGCTGCCTGGAGATTGCCGCTGCCGTGTATTGCTGAACGGACATCTCGCGTCGGTTCCTTGTGGGTTGGGCCTCGTTTCGTAAACCGCACTCCGTCAGTGAGAATCCGGCTTAAAATATCGCAACATCTGGGAATTACAACTGGAACTTTATGGTTATCAATGTTCAAATGCTTGGCCCGTATAAATGTCTTATTTTCATCAAGACGTTGGGCCTTCCGGGCCTGTGGAATTGCGATTGGTTGCGTCAGGGGCCAGCCCCTTAAGGTAAGGTACCCATAGGCAGGGCGCAACCACTACCTTACCTTAGGTACCTACTCAGTTGGCCCCGACGGTTACACAACTGTTGGAGCTTGCAAGCGGTTGGAACATGCAAGCGGTGGAGCACGCGGAAGGATGGTCAGGCCAGTTGCCGGCTCCAGAGACCCGTTGTCGGGTATTTCAATTGCACAGCACTCAGTTAATGCTACTGCATCACATTTGCCATGTCAGCACATAAAGTAGGTACTCTAACCATTGCCATGCCTGCGATGCTCCTGTTGCCAGTCCCTGATGCCAGTCCGTGCTGCCGGGACTTGGAACGTGCTGCCAGGAACGGTGAGCAGCTACTGCACGGGTCGCTGGTTGGCGTCTGAGTAGGGGAGTCCGTGAGTGTCGAATTCGTGTCCTGTTCCACGTTCTCCGTAAGCTGCAGTTGGAGGGTCTTCTTCTGGTCACTTTTCACACTCGACTCATACTTGCAACACTGCACTCGCTCCCCCTTCTCTCTTGAAGATCTCCTGCGAAGCAGGACGACGTCCCCGAATAATGCCGGCATTCACAATACAGCACTTCAATTCGAGAAAACATGTCAATGGCTGTCGGCCTTCGTCCAGGGTGTCATGTCCTGATCAAATTGCTCAATCTACTACAGCGATATGTGCCCTGGTGACGTCGATTGCTCTTCCTGGCCACGATGAAACTCCGCCTCAGACTGGAAGCCCCCCGGTTAGTATAACCAATTCTTTCCCAGTTGGGGATGCTATTATCATCCACTTACTGAATTCGAAGTTGCCATCAGCGTTGCCAATGCGCTCTGCGAGGTTGATGTCCCTCCACTGCACGTTGCCCTCCACGTCCCTGAGACCGGCACGAAGAACAGGGACTGAGTCGCCACCTTCGACCGAGAAGCTGATGCCCTCGGCGCTTTCGGAGAAGTTTACTCCGCCCCACTGGAAAGAGCCTAGAGGATATTATAAGCGGGATGGTCGTGGTTGTTGGAGTAGCAGGACCGGCTTGGGCCACACACCATTGTCGTTGCCAATGAACTGGTTGAGATCAATCTCGGCATCGACCAGCTCGCCGCTGGCCGTTCTGAGACGGGCCCGAAGCATGTGGCCGTCGTCGACGCGGATGTTCTCAGCCGAAGCATGGAAAGACATTGTAAGGACGGAGATTTGCGAAGAAGAAGAGGTTACGCTACCGGAAGGAAGGCTACTGGGAGAAGACGAGGGGCTTAGCATAACTAAGAACGAAGCCCAAAGTATTTAAGCTGTGAATCACAACATCGTTGTCCGCCCATAGTGGGTCTGCCATTCGCAGCGTCCCATGTGCCGCACATCCGAGACGAATCATACCGGAGGGGAGGCCTCAGGAACCCCACCCGTCGCTGCACCGGCCAGCGCGTAGATCGTCGACGTGGCTTGACGAGGAGGAGGAGAGGTGGAGTGTGCATTGGGATTTTGGGGTGGTTTGTCGCCCAGCGGAGGGGTAGGCGGGGGTACAGGTGAGCCCCTTGTTACATGCTTGGATAGTGACCAGGAGCGTTTGAGTCTTGTGCAAGCAGACTACAAGCAACTGACGGGCGTAAACAACGGGCCTGTCTCCTGACCCTGCCCGGACCGAAACCTTCCAGGTTGGTCTCAGCACACATGCCTGTAGAGGACAATGAACTCAAAAAAAGCAAGAGCTTCTATGTAGTAAAATAGCTCCAGGCTGCCTGTCTCTTGTGTCCGGAAGGCCAAATAAACGAGTTACTGTCGTGTGGCCCTGGCGGACCCACGTGACATGCTGTGGGGCAGCCACCCACATCTTCCTGCAGCCTACGCCAAACCTGCTCATCTTCCTCAAGGCACAAGCATCGAAGGTCATTGAGTTCCGCAGTTCGCGGTTGTTCCTCCCACAGTTACAAGTAGAGTATTTAAGTTCACACTACGAGGGAACAAAAGAAGCTTTCCATCGCCATCAAACTACGGTCTCTAGTGTAGTAGCTTCTGTTGAAAGATGTGGCACTCAGAGCAGGGGGCTTGGAACCGCGGGAGCTCCATTGCGGGTGCGCAGGCTAGGAAGGCGGTCAGGGCAGTCAATTCAGGGGTATCAGTGGCTGGGCACAGCAGCTATTTCAGGGTCTGGGAAATGCCCAGACCACTGTTCTGCAGGCACATCATTTTATCATCTTCAAGACACTGCCCGCTCTGCAGCTCTCACAACCTCTATTTTCAATGTGCTACAATTAACGTGATACCGTGGATCCGTGGCTGTTGGACTTCCAACAGCTTCATGGCTATTGAAATTCCAACAATGAACAATGCCTTGGGCAGCGTGAATAGAAAACAAT